CAGCTTACATGAAGTGCCTAAAGTGGAGAGCAAGTGTGGGACAGAACTGGTTTTCTTCTTGCTAACCAAGAGCTCTTTCCAGGTAATCATATACTGTTGTAAGGGACTAAAGATAAGGAAACTAACATTGAAGTTCTCTTTCTCCACCTTTTCATTCTAAACAAATCCTACTTTGTTGAACTTTACAACTTTATAGATAGGCTGTGCATGGTCGCTTATGCCTGTAATCCTAGCACTTTGGGAGGTCGAGGCAGGTGGATCATGAGGTCAAGAGTTCAAGACCAGCCAGGCCAAGATGGTGAAATCCTGTCTCTACTAAAAATACAAAAAAAAAAAAAAAAAAAAAAAAATTAGCTGGGTGTGGTGGCAGGTGGTTGTAATCCCAGCTACTCAGGAGACTGAGGCAGAGAATTGCTTGAACCCGGGAGGCAGAGGTTACAGTGAGCTGAGATCACACCACTGCACTCCAGCCTGGGTGACAGAGCAAGACTCAATCTCAAAAAAACAAAAACAAAAACAAAACAAAACAACCAAAAAACAAACAAAAAATGCTTTGTAGATAAACATATTTTGAATTTAGACTTGAGGACAAGGACTAAATCTTACACTCTGTGTACCTTGTTCGTATTTCAGAGTTCATGAAGTGTATTCATGGCCAGCAGCCAAGTAGAGTGGGTAGGACATTGGCTTCAGAGTTCAGCAAGTCTCAGAATCCCATCTCTGCACATTCTAGCTGCGTAAACTTGTAAGCAGATTATCTACTCTAAAACTTAGTTTCCACATTTGCAAAAGGGGAACAATAAAACTCCACCTCATTATTTTGCCATGAAGATTTCATGAGATGATACATGTAATGCACATTGAAAAACTTAACAAATGTTAGAAATTGTAAATAGTCCTGGAAGGCATTTATCATTCCCGTTTTACAGATGAGAAAATTAAAGCTCAGAGAGTTTAAGGGCTAGAGCCATACAATTGGTTAGTAAGGTAGCTAGGATTTAGCTCAGCCTCCCAGCTCCATATCCACAGTACTTGCTGCCCCACCACTGAGTATAGACAACTGAGGTGGCCCTAAGCTATGGGTCAAATATGTCTGTCCACATCATCATGGAACGACATGTTATTTATTAAGTCCACACACGCTTGAGGTGCCAGAAAATGGATGCTTCCGGGGTGAGGTAGGCTCTTCATGTGCAGCCTTCATGTGCAGATTCCAGCCAAGGAAATCAAGCCTGGCACTAATCCCTTGCCCAAGCCCAGGTACGTCCCAGGGACGGAGTAGGTCGGAAGTCCTTGAATATCCTCAGCCTTCCTTTCCTCTGGCAATGCTTCCTTGATGCCCTAAGAATATTTTGCTTACCCTGATATTACAGCCCTCTTCACACTCTCGAGCGTTCTAGTATTTTGGGTGTCCATCTGATTCTCCTGTTGAAACAGTGGACTCCAAAGTGAAGGGCTCAAAATGGTACATAGGGGTATGAGAAAAACATATGTGAATACTTGCTTCTATTTATTTTTAAATCTAAAATATTAAGAAAATTAGGTTTTACCAATATTAAAATATCACAGTAGAGCATATATAATTTATAGTAAACATGCAATTATTAGGCATGTATGCTGGTTTTCTTTTCTTTATATTTCTTTTCTTTTTTTTTTTTTTTTGATGGAGGGGTATGAAGAAAAGAGACTAGAGGTAACTGTTCTGGAAAGTAAGCTCCTACAGGCAGAAGCTGTGTCTTTTTCTAATGTGTATTCCACCCCTCCCTCATTACCTAGCACTAAATGACTCTTCCCTGATTAAATGAATTTGGCATCTATGTAAACTTGATTGTCTTTCTTGTTTTTCCTCTCCTTTTGTCATCCATCTGATATAATATTATGTCTTATTCAATATTCTCCCAAGACCTGAACAAATAATAAAGCTGTGTTAGTAAAGAGTGCAAATTGCCATAAAAAGACTGAAAAATACAAGATTCATAGTCCCCAAGGAGATGGTTAATGGTAGTCAATAAGGCATATAGTGGGCAAAAGAAAAGCTAAATGTGAAACTTCATGGAAGAACTCATGGACACAAAGTCAGGCTGGGAGCCCCAGCACTACAGTCTGAGAAATCAGATGTAATCTGAGCATATGTGTATTTTCAAACTAACAATTGTCCTCCCGCTCCTCTGAAACTTGCAGAAAGCAATGCAACACAATGCAACGAGCCAGGGTCTTGGAGAAAGAAAGAAGTCCCAACTCTGTCACTGTCCTGGTTGGGTGATCTTGGGCAAGGTCCCTAATCACCCCCACTCCCAGAAAAATAGTTCCTCACCTACAAACGAGGTTGAGCTAGATGATTCTGGAGGTTCCTTCATGCTTTGAAGCAACCCATGTTTTCTTCCTGAGGCAATGTATACTTCAAGTGACACCATGAAGCTCACTGGACCAAAAATATCACCTTACCACCAAGCCTTTCATGGTTTGTGACATCCTCTCCTCAGGCACCGTGTCTCCATGTGGTGCTTCCCAACCTAGCAATAACTTACTGGCATGAATCCACTTCAAGTATCAGTTATGTCCATAATGCATGTAGAGTGGGAAAGCAAGATACGAAAGATTATATATGTGGTATGCATATGTCTATAAATACATACAGATGTATGTGCATACAAATAGAAAAAGAACTGAAAGATACTCAGCATACCTTCAACGGTGATTATTCCTAGGGAACAGGAAAGCAAGATGAAGGTATGAATTTTACCATTTACTTTAAATTCTCCTGTATTTTTGTTGTTTTTTAAAAAATAAACTATTTTACTATTTAAAAATAAAAATTTTAAAAAATAAATATTAAAGTCCTATACAAATGTTTAATAATATTTGTAATAAGTAGCACCAGTTTCTTCAAGAGGCCCTACCAGAAGCAAATCTGCATCTTGATACTGCATTAGAGCCTTGGCTGAAGTACTAATAATACCCGAACATTCTATGGAGGATAGGGCCCTGGACTGGGAGACCCTAATCACATAATCAGAAACTCTTATTGAGTAATCTTGGGCAACCTGAGTTTTCCCAAACTTTACCCGAGTTTGGTTTTCTCGACTAGAAAACAATACTTTTGAACTAAATCCTCTATTGGGAACTTTCTACTCTGAAGTCCTGTGATTCTTTTTTTTTTTTGAGACGGAGTCTCGCTCTGTCGCCCGGGCTGGAGTGCAGTGGCGGGATCTCGGCTCACTGCAAGCTCCGCCTCCCGGGTTCACGCCATTCTCCTGCCTCAGCCTCCCGTGTAGCTGGGACTACAGGCGCCCGCCACCTCGCCCGGCTAGTTTTTTGTATTTTTTAGTAGAGACGGGGTTTCACCGTGTTAGCCAGGATGGTCTTGATCTCCTGACCTCGTTATCCGCCCGTCTCGGCCTCCCAAAGTGCTGGGATTACAGGCTTGAGCCACCGCGCCCGGCAGTCCTGTGATTCTTAACAACAGGACATGAAAAAGACACAGGAAAGTGAGTATGTCCTGTGGCAGCCAGGATACTTTCCCCCAAAGCAAAGTGAAAACTGATGTGAAACTCCTTCTTCCTTCCTTATTTTCCTCTCTCTCTCTCTCTCTCCACCTCTGTTATCTAAATGCTCTATATTTGAAGCATTCATCACTTTATAGGCCCTGATGGGATACAGAGGACAACATTTTACTTGAGAAGCGGAAAATGTCAGATACTTATTTTCCAGCTTCCCTTACAGGTATGCATAGGCATAAGGATCTGCATTGCTTTTTGACTCAGGAGCTAGTGACCTCAAATAGCAAAGACTGCTGAATCTGTTCTGCAGCAGGAAGTGGCATTAGTTGTAATAACAACATTCATTTTCCAGATGCTACAGCGGTGGTTGTTCTGGTGGTTCTAGCAGCAGGGACCAGCATCCAGGCTTGGGGCATTCACTGAGCAGTGGTTTCCATGCAGTGGGGGCATTGATGACTTCATGATATTGTTCTGCGGTACAATTTTAGGTGTTGCTTCTGGCTATGTAGCCTCTAAACCTGGGTTTCTAGTCCTCCTGGAGAGCCTGTGAACTACCTAATATTTTTAAATAAATTCATTTACTGCTTAGATTAACTACAGATTGTTTCTATTGCTTGTGACCAAAAACGTTTACTAATGCACCTGTTATTTTTTTTAAATCATGCACTTGGAGATTATATATATACACACACACATACGTTTTTAAGGGAAAAAAACTCTCCTCCCTTCCCTTTGTTGATCCCTTATTTTCCCAGTTTCTTCTCTAGAGGCAGTCATAACGATTTGTTTCTTATGTATTCCTCCAGAGATATCTTGTATGTACACAAGCACATCTATGTATTGAAGAAAAGTTACTAAAAATCACTCAAATAGGATCACTGCATATACACTGTTCCATACTTTGCTTGTAACCTTAAGACTACATGTTAGAGATAATTCCATAAATATAAAGCTGCCTCATTCTTTTTATTATTTTTATTTTTAGAGGCAGGGTCTTGCTCTGTCTCCCAGGCTGGAGTGCTGTGGTGTGATTGTAGCTCACTGCAACCTCTAACTCCTGAGCTCAGAGGATCCTCCTGCTTCAGTCTCCCAAGTAGCTGGGACAACAGGTACGTGCCACCACTCCCCACTAATTTTTTATTTTTTGTAGAGTCAGGCCTTGCCATGTTGCCCAGGCTGGTCTCAAACTCCTGGCCTCAATTGATCCTCCCATCTCGGTCTCCCAAAGTGCTGGGATTACAAGTGTGAGTGACTGTGCCTGACCTGCCTCATTCTTTTTATTGGCTGCTTAGTATCCCTCTGAATGAATATACTATAATTTATGTAGCCAGTTTCCTCCTATAAGCAGTTGGATTGCTTACAGTTTTTGTGGCTACAAATAATACTGCAATGAATATCGTTGTAAATATGTATTTTAAAAAATATATGGAATGCTTCATGCATGTCATCCTTGTGCAGGGGCCATGACAATCTTCTCTGTATCCTTCCAATTTTAGCATATGTGTAGCTGAAGTGAGCAAGTAAATATGTCTTAATGTCCAGTGCAAGCAGATACCTGTCTGATAGTGAAGTTGCAACGTCAAAAGGTAAATGTAACTTTAAAACTTTGATAGATAGCACCAAAATGCACTGCAAATTTAGTAACAAGTTTTAATCCTGCTAAAAATATTTTAGACTCCTCGTCTCACCAAATCTTTACCTCACCAATGTATATTATCAGATTTTATAATTTTGCTGTTCTAATAGGTAAAAACTGATTTTCTCATTGTTCTGATTTTCATTCTTTAATTTATGAGTGAGGTTGAACATTTTTCATGTATTTAAAAGCCATTTGTATGTATTCACCTGTGTAGTATATTCATGTCCTTTGCCTGTTGTTTTCTATTGGATTTTTATCTGTGTTTAACTGCTTTGTAAAAACTTCATCTTTTTTTTTTTTTTTCTGAAGTAGGTTCTTGCTTTGTCACCCAGACTGGAGTTGCAGTCTGGCATCCTCCTGCCTCAGCCTTTTTTTTTGAGACGAAGTCTCACTCTGTCGCCTGGGCTGGAGTGCAGTGGCGTGATCTCAAATCACTGCAACCTCCGTCTTCCAGGCTCAAGCAATTCACCTGCCTCAGTCTCCCGAGTAGCTGGGATTACAGGCACGTGTTACCACTTCTGGCTAATTGTTTTGTATTTTTCATAGAGACAGGGTTTCACCATGTTGGCCAGACTGGTCTTGAACTCCTGACCTCAAGTGATCTGCCTGCCTCAGCTCCCCCAAAGTGCTGGGATTACAGGCATGAGCCACAGCACCCAGCCCTGCCTCAGCCTTTTAAAGTGCTAGGATTACAAGTGTAAGCCACCACACCTGGTCAAAATTCCATATTTTAAAGTAAATTATGTAAATTTACTTTAATGAAGTAAATTGTCATACTTGTTGCAAATTTTTTTCCCAATTTGTTTTTGGTTTTCTGACCTTTTAAACTTTGATTTGATTTTTGGTTTTTGCTTTGCATAAATCTTTAATTTTCACAAAGCCAAATTTGTCTATATTTTTGCTTATGGCTCTAGATTTGTTTGGAATGGCTTTTGGCTGGGTAGCTTCTCATGGTTTCAACATTGAAGCTGCTAATTTAGAAAAACAACACTGAGACTTCTGGTTAAAGACAGCAGATTAAACACATGCTCCACTCCCTCCTAGAACTCAACCAAAATTTAATGTTTTGATTAAGTGATACATTCACATGGTTTTAAAACCAGAAAAATACAAAGAGGCACAGCCTGAAACGTTTCCCTCATCTATGTCTCCCATCAGCTCAGTTCCCACTTTCTCCCGGTCCAGAAATAAGGACTGTTATACTTTCTTATGCGTGTTTCCAGAGTTTCTTTATGTGTATGTAAGCAAGTAAGAATTTTGGTAAACTTTTTTTGAAGGAGAAACCTACAAGGACAAAAGACTATAAAAAGGACAAGAGTAAGAAAGATAATTTTAAAAGCTGGAACATAAGGCCAGGCACAGTGGCTCACGCCTGTAATCCCAGCACTTTGGGAGGCTGAGGCAGGTGGATCATTTGAGGTCAGGAGTTCAAGACCAGCCTGGCCAACATGGTAAAAACCCATCTCTACTAAAAATACAAAAATTAGCCGGGTATGGTGGCGGGTGCCTGTAGTCTCATCTACTTGGGAGGCTGAGGCAGGAGAATCACTTGAACTGGGAAGGTCGGGGGTAGGGGTTGCAGTTAGCCGAGACTGCGCCACTGTACTCCAGCCTGGGTGACAGAGTGAGACTGTGTCTCAAAAATAAAATAAAATAAAATATAAACAAATAAACAAATAAAAGCTAGAACATAGATGAATGAATGGTAACTGCATCAAGAGACCTGAGAAAGCTGAATCCTAAGCCTGAAGATGAGAAAAGGTAAAGCAACTCACTTTACATTTCAGAATCCTCCAAATGCTCAGCAATTGGTGGCACCAGGTACTTTTGGAAACAAGGATGAAGTTGTGGCTAAAAACAGTAAGTTGAATTGAAAATCAGTTCAGGAAACAATGAAAGCCCCAGGCCCCCTCTTCCTCTTGCTGTTAGATGGATTGCCCCTTCCCCACAATGTCCAAGAATGGAGGTTTTTCTGGTGGGAGAGTAAGACAGAGAAGGGACAAGGCACTATTGTGTGAAAGGACAACACGCTGGGAAAAAACAGGAGATTATACACATTGCCTTCTGCTGTCTTCTCTTACTTAGGGAACCCTGACATCCAGCCTGAATATTAGGAAAGCCTTCTCCGAAACTCTGACACACTGGAGAGAAATGCTCTAAAGATAACGCAGAAATGACAGCATCTGTGAAAGAAAAAGAAAACAAGAAGTATTAATAATATCTCCCGAGAAATAAGAGAACTAGTGCATATATGAAATAAGAACAGAATGCTATTTTTTTTTTTTTTTTGAGGCGGAATCTCACTCTGTCGCCCAGACTGGAGGGCAGAGACGCAATCTCGGCACACTGCAAGCTCCGCCTCCCGGGTTCACGCCATTCTCCTGCCTCAGCCTCCCAAGTAGCTGGGACTACAGGCGCCCGCCACCGCGCCCGGCTAATTTTTTGTATTTTTAGTAGAGACGGGGTTTCACTGTGGTCTCGATCTCCTGACCTTGTGATCCGCCCGCCTCGGCCTCCCAAAGTGCTGGGATTACAGGCGTGAGCCACCGCGCCCGGCCCAGAATGCTATTTTTTAAAAGGAACATTTAGAGAACAACAACAAAAAAAAACTTAGAAATTCAAATACGATAGCAAAAATATAAAAAAGCTTACTAGGTTTGGAAAGTAGAGAGGAAAGCAGAAAGATAACAGATGGAAAATAAAAAATATAAGAGCAAAATTAATTTATTTGGGAGATGACCCCAGGAAACATCTGTAGGGGAGTAAAGTAATGAGAAAAGGATCCTACGGAAGTTAATATATCTAGCAAGTTACTGTGGACAAGTGGAACTTGACTCCATCGGGGAAGTCTGGGAGGCCTGTGTTGAAAGCATGCTTCAGGGTTAAACCCCCTCATGGTTGAGCAAGCTGGGATATTTATCTACTAACTCTCATCAGTCGTTGGTTAAGGGGCTCTCCCAGGGAAAAGGGGGTTAATTCCCCAACACTTCCTGAGCAAACTTTCAGTAGCTTTTTCTAAGCCCTCAGGCAAAGAGACATACATGCTGGCAATTTTGAAGGCCTGGATGTTAAGTGACAAGAGAATTCGGGCAGGGCACTGATGGCAAATGTTATATCTTCCCTGCACTCTCTCTTAGGAAACTACTGAAGAATGTGCTCCACCAAAACAGTGCTGTGAGTCAAGAAAGAGGAAGAGGTGGAATTCAGGAACCAGAGCACTCAACACAGAGGTGAAGAGAGTCCCCAGGATGTGGGTGAAGGGAAGTCCCAAGATGACAGATGTACAGCAGGCCTAGAGGTCAGTCAGCTCAGAAAGGAGCAGATCGGTAGGTCTGGAAGAGCTCGCTTCCAGATAAAATTGATGGAATACCAAGTTTGTTCGGACATAATGAGAGGAGACTTAAACAGCTAGAGAGGAGTATGGATTAAATTAGTGACATATGCACAGAAAAACTAGGCAGATGAAAAATGAGACCATTATTAACCCCAGAGAAAGCAAAACCGTTTTGAAGAAAGTGATCATAATTTATTACACAACACAGGTGTGAATAGTATTTATTTGATCATAGTAATATAAACACTGAGTGTCAGTTTAATAATGACATAGAAATATAAGCCCATGCAGTATAGGAAGAGGCGAAAACTGAATCCCCATCTTCCACAGTGGAAAGTCAATAGAGAAAACTAAGAAGTAGCTATTTAGAGATACAATGATTTCTCTCCTCCCCCTAAAAAAAGATTTAGTGAAAGCATTGAAAGTGATTTCCTCTGAGGAGTGGGAAATGAAGGGGTGGAGTGGGGGAATGCTATTTCTTGTAATTAGTAATTTAGAAGTATTTGATTCTTTAAACTATGTGCATATTTAACTTTGATGTTTAAAAAAACTAAATAAAACTCAGTAATCATTTTTCCTTTGCTGTATGAAAAAGGGAGGAGGTGAGATGGAAAATGCGCATCATTCCTAGCTGATAAGGAAACTGGGCAGGCAAAATGAAACTTGCTTGTTCCATGAGTCCATCAGCCCAGCAGGGTCAATGTCTTTTCAATCTTCTTGAGGCAGAAGAAAAGCTATGAGCAACTGGGAAATTAAAACTTAAATTCCTTTGAAAGAGCCATTAATGCCAAACTGACCTGAAATCTGGGGCTACCCTAAGAGGGTTTTGGCCCAAATAAATAGTCCAGGATAAGTACAAAGAAAGGGTTCTTTCAAATGCAAAAATGAAACCAGGATTATATTAAGGGAGCTAGTAACAGCAATTGAGTGTAAGCAGAATGCATTCTTAATTATGTCTAATATGAATTTCTTTAAATTCTTTAAATGCCAGTTGTTTTAAAATACAGAAATTAAAAATGTTACTATTTTGATTTATAGTTTTAATTTTAAAAACCATGGGCGTACGTTGTACAGTCTTTTAATTAACCATATCTATGATTGAAATTGCACATTGTGGCCGGGCGTGGTGGCTCACGCCTGTAATCCCAGCACTTTGGGAGGCCGAGGTGGGCGGATCACAAGGTCAGGAGATCGAGACCACGGTGAAACCCCGTCTCTACTAAAAATACAAAAAATTAGCTGGGCGTGGTGGCGGGCGCCTGTAGTCCCAGCTACTCGGGAGGCTGAGGCAGGAGAATGGCGTGAACCCGGGAGGCGGAGCTTGCAGTGAGCCGAGATCCCACCACTGCACTCCGGCGACAGAGCGAGACTCCGTCTCAAAAAAAGAAAGAGAGAGAGAGAGAGAGAGAGGGAGAGAAATTGCACATTCTTTAGGTCTCTGGCCCGATCATGATGCCCAGAGTTTGTTACTTTCTGATTGCAGGCAAAATAACTACAGGAATGAGGCCTCCTGAAGGCAGAATCAGTTCTCCTTTCTCTTCCTACCTTCAATCTTTACCTACTAGATCCTTCAAAAAGTTTCAATCTAAAATAAAAATAAAGAAGAAATTCTCACTTAAACTATCACCCAAACTTTCTCTTTTCCTTCATCATAATACTTCTAAAAAAAATACATGCTAACTTCCTTCTCTTCCTTTACTTCCTCACCACATACTACTTCTTAACTCCTTGTAATCTAGCTTTCACTTTGACCATTGCACTGAACCTACTGTCTCAGAGGTCTCAAAGGACTTCTTACTTGCCAAATTTCGGTCCTGCTTAGCCCTCATCCTCCTCAACCTCTCTGTTTTTGACTTTCAAAATGTCTCACTGTGTCTCTCTCTCTGTTGCTCTGTCTCTCTTCTCTCTGTCTCTCTCACCCACCCACTCTCTAGCCCCCTTATTCTGTGTTTTTCCTCTCTTTTGGTTTTCCTTCCTCCCTTGTTATTCTTCCTTTGGCTCTTCTGTCCCCCTCATTCTCTTAAGAATAGGCATCCAATGAGATCCCATGACTCCCTGCAAGATCTGGGATCTGCCTATGTCTCCAATCTCATATGCACCCTGTTCCCCCTTGTTCATTTCACTCCAGTTACACTGATGTTTCAGTTCCTCTAATGGGCCAACGAGTTCTTTATTACCTTAGGACCTACTCTCTCTACCTGGGACACTCTCCCCCACTTCCCCCCACCCCCAAAGTGCTTCATCTGGCTATTTCCATATTAACTTTCAGGTCTCAGCTTCATATTGCTTCCTCAGAGTGGCTCTCCCTAAGTGCATCCCCTCCCCACCCCTCCAAATTAAATCTGTTTCCCTGTTTTTTTCTATTTTAGAAATAGTTTTTTATCAAATTATCATATGGCTTAAAATGGAAGACTAATTATGTATTTATTTGCTTAAATCTCTACCTTTCTCTCCAGAGTGTAATTTCCATGAGGACAGGAACCTTGTCAGTTTGTTTAACACTGTATCCTTAGCATTCAACACAGACCTTAAAGCAGCAGATGACAAATATTGGTTGAATAAATGAGTGAACAAAGAGCCAGGCGCTACAGTAAGTACTTCTACCTGTTGGGTGCTACAGTAAGTACTTTACATATATCACCTCATTTTTATTCTTACAACAACCCTATGCATAGGTACTACTATCAGATGAAGAAATGAAAGCTTATAGAGACTGACCAATATGCCCAAAATCTCACAGAAAAATAAGTGTAGCTCTCACGACATGAAAAGATGTAGAGGAACCTTAACTGCATATTACTAAGTTAAAGAAGCCAATCTGAAAAGCCTTCATACTGTATGATTCCAACTATGTGACATTCTGGAAATGGCAGAAATATAGAGACAGTAGAAAGGTCAATAGTTGCTGGGGGTTGGAAGAAGGGAGAGATGAATAGGCAGAGTGCAGAGGATATTTAAGGAATGAAAATACTCTGTATGATATATAATAGTGGATATGTGTCATACATTTGTCCAAGCCCACAGAGTGTACGACACCAAGAGTGAACCCTAATGTACCCTATGGACTTGGATGATGATGATATGTTGATGTAGGTTCATCAGCTGTAACAAATGTACCACTCTGTGTGGGGATGTTGATAATGGAGAGGGCCTGTGCATGGATGGGGACAGGGAGTATATGAGAAATTTCTATTCTTTCTGCTCAATTTTGCTGTGAATCTAAAACTAATGTAAAAAATAAAATATTTTTAAAATGAGTGTCAGAGGTAGGATTTGAAACATTTGTTTGACTCTATGTAGGGCTTAATTACTATACCGCTTCCCAGTTGACAAATCTAATACTTTCACCGTCCAAAGCTTCCCTCACACTTACTTCCTGTTGTCTGTTTCTATGGTTTCTCTTGAGTCCTTCCAGGATCCATTCCAAGCCAGATAATGGTACGTGGGTGGGAAACTGTGGTCATGGAGGAGACTGGACAGACCTGGAAGCTTTTCTTTTCTAACACATGTTTCTGAGGATCCCTCAGGAAGCCTGTGAAGGAGGAAAACCACGGTGATGGTCAATGCTCTGACAGCTCCTCTGCCTCCTTCTCCATGCTCTTCTCCTGCCGTGCCTTCCCCAAGGCTGTGGGTTGCTCCCCACTGTGCTACTCCCCTCGGGCCTTCTCTCCCTGCCCACATTTGCATGTGCCAGTCCTTTCCCCTGACAAAAATGTCCACATAGAATGGTAAGTAGAAAAAAAATAAGAGACAATATTGTACAAATAGTTGTTATGGGTTGAATTGTGTCCTCCCAAAATTGATATGTTGGAGTCCTAACCCCCGTTACCTCAGAAGGTGACCTTATTTGGAGATAAGGTTGTAGATGTAATCAATCAAGTTAAGATGAGGTCATAATGAAGTAGGAGGAACCCTTAATTCAAAATGACTATTTCCTTATAAAAAGAATGCCATGTGGAGAGGCAGACATGTACCAAGGATACTGCCACGTGGAGAGGCGGACACGCACCGAGGATACTGCCATGTGGAGAGGTGGACACGCACCGAGGATACTGCCACGTGGAGAGGCGGGCACGCACGGAGGATACTGCCACGTGGAGAGGTGGACACGCACCAAGGATACATGCCATGTGGAGAGGAAGGCAGAGATGGGGTGATGCAGCAGAAAGCAGAGATTGGGGTGATGCAGCAGAAGCCAAGAAATACCAAAGACTTCCAGCAAAACAGCAGAAGGCAGGAGAGAGGCCTGGGACATATTCTTTCTCACAGTCCTCACAAAGAACCCACGTGCCAACCCCTTGATCTCAGACTTCTAGCCTCCAGACCTGTGAGACAGCAAATTGCTGTTATTTAAGCCACTCAATTGTGGTACCTTGTTATGGAAGTACTAGCAAGCTCATAGAAATAACAGAATCCTGATCTTGTAAAGCAAAATAAACTCATGTATTACAGGTTATCATCTTACATACACACATACACATACACATACACATAGATGAACACATAGAAACAATGAAAGGCAATATATTTTAAAAGTTATCAATACTTCTTTGGGGATAATGGATGCTGAGTAATTTTGCTTTGTACTTTTCTCTGCACCTTTGGGTATTTTCTCAGTTTTCTTACCTCTCTACAATATTATGCATTACATACACCAGCGGTCCCCAACCTTTTTGGTACCAGGGATATGTTTTGTGGAAGACAGTTTTTTCCACCGGGGGGCAGCAGTGGGGATGGTTTCAGGATGAAACTGTTCCACTGCAGATCATCAGGCATTAGATTCTCATAAGGAGCATGCATCATAGAACTCTAGCATGTGCAGTTCACAATAGGGTTTGCGCTCCTATGAGAATCTAATGTTTCCACTGATCTGCCCAGGAGGCGGGGTTCAAGGGGGTATGCGGCCTATTCTTAACAGGCCACAGACTGGTGCCTGTCCATGCCCCAGGGTTTGGGGACCTCTGACACAGACAGATCCCCAGAGCTTAGTTTCCTCATCTGTAATTGGAGAATAGCTATACCAATCTTCCAGCACTGTTGTGAGGATGAGAGTGCCTGACACAAATAACAGTTCAGTGGGTTTTCCTGGAATAGGGAGAGCAGCTCCAAAGGAGTAAACCTGGACAGACCTCTGTACCTCTCTCTACTCATCATCGGGCTTCACTGTTGCTGCTAAGCAGGCATGCAGATGCTGCTCAGCACTGGCCTCCCTGTGTGGTAGGGGTGGATGTGCAGAGATGAGATGGCACAGGGGAGCTAGCTCGATGTCTTGGTTTTGGGAAGGTCAGCAAAGAAAGGCAAGAGAGGGAAAAGTTTGATTGAAGAATGTTGGCTAGGTAAGGACAACTTAACCCATTTGGGGTAACATTTCTTAGTTTGGGGTGGGGTCCAATGGGGCAACTGAAAAGGAAAAAGGGACTGAGAGAGATTAGAAGACATAGCCACAAAGCCCAACAATCCCTTCCTACAGGAAGAATGCCTTGCCTCTTCATTTCTTCTCTGAAACCCCTCTAGAAATGGGAGTGGACAATGTAACTTATTATCATTTTCCACAGCCCCTGGGAAGATGTTCTTTCCCCAGGAGGAGTGTTTCCCAAACATCCCTCCTTCTGGCCATATCTGTGATAAGTTGTTCTTTTCTGGGACTGTTTAGGTAGCCTTGACTCTGACTTACTTAATAGGGCAGGTTAGTTATCTTGAATCTTGAATTTAGCCATTTGTGACTTCATATTAATCTTTCGTCTCCAAAAACATTGGGCTGTTTTGCCTCTTTCTACTCACTTATGTCTTCTTTATCTTAATTCCAAATCCCAGCAACTCAGAGAAGAATTGGGTCCCACAAATGATATTCACAGTCTGTTGCTTCATGGGAGGTCATTGAAGCCCTTTCCCCATTTACTTTGTCAAAATCTGTATCTCTTTTCATTCCTAATTTTTTATCTGCAAGATTACATAGCAACATGGGAAACATTTATACTATTAAATAGTGAAAGAAGG